TCATACCTCATTATAACTCTTATGTGCCGAATTAATTCACTTAGTAATTTATGTTGTGGATCTTTAGGGGCTACGATTGTTGAGTTAAAGAGCGTCTAACTGTATGAGTTTAATTAATCATCTAAATATTAAGTGAGATTGATTGTATTTTTGGGCAATTAGGGTGAGCATTAATACATTGGTTAATGAATTAAATATAAGCCATTCAGTGATGTAGTGGGGAGGAGCTTAGATAATTTACATATGATTATCACTTCAAACCTCGATGACATTGGGCAAAAAGGATTTGTGTTTTATTCCCTCAACTTGAAATTGGGCAACCTTCTCCACAAAAAGGAAAATGAAAAAAAAAATAAGGTTTTTCACAGGGAATTTTTTTTTTTTTATTATTTTTTTTTTGGTGAATATAGATTAAGTTTCTATAATTAATTATAAAGAGATTACGTTTATATTCTTCAATTGAATATTAAATATATCTCATTGTTCATATAGCCAGATAATTGAAGAGCCCTAGTGAGCAACAAGTATGGTAACCCAGAAATGTAAATGGAGAACGGGGAAAATTAGCATTTTTCTTTGTTGGATCTGTGTAAGTACCCTCCGGAGCCACAAATATAATACCCATAAAGGACACTCAGCAACCAATATAAGAATCCAAGCTGCTCAGACAAACCTACTTCTTTGCACTGAAGGGATCCATTTCTAGTCCAACCCAATAAAATAGAGTATGAGGTTGGATCCTTTATGTATGACAGGCTTTACTTAGTATCGTTGAGGCCCAAACGAGACTTCATAGACTACATTTTTAACTCGTGTGAAATCTATTGTGACCATCTGATTCTGACATTACAAATTTTGACTTGGCCTACCGATGGGTTTTATTTTATCTAAGGTTTTTCATATAACATTTTTCTTTTCATACGTGAAAAATTCACGGAAGAAAATTTACTTTATAAGTTTTAGAGCCAATTTCTCAACAGAGACTAACATGTACTTACAATTTAGGCTAAATTACAAATTATCCTCGTGTACTTTAGTTATGTTTCAAAATATTCTCATATACTTTCAATTAAAATTGTAAAGAATCATCTTTCTAATATGCCCCCTCATACGAGAGTCTATTGAACTTGAAGGGTTGATAATACATCAAGCTCAGTCTATCTGTGCTAAAAAACTCCATAAAACTTAATTAGTTATTACTTAATAGGGGCGGTGAGGATCGAACCCGTGATATCGAGGTTCTGATACCAAATAAAGAACAAATTCAACCCAAAAGTTTAAGCTATTAGTTTAGGGTCTCTTTAATGATTTATATTATACTCTAACCTAACACGCCCCTCACAAGAGAGCTCATTGGGCTTGAAAGGTGGAAGATGCATCAGGCCTAGCCTACTTGTGCTAAGAAATTCCAGAAAAAAAAATGGGGGGCAACGAGAATCGAACCTAGAACACCGAGGCTCTGATACCATATAAAGAACAAATTCAACCCAATAGCTTAAACGGTTAGGTGAGAGCCTTTTTAATCTCTAACACGTCCCCTTACGACGCAAGAGCCCTTTGGGCTTGAAGAATAGATATTGCATAGGCCAAATTTTTTTGTTTACCTTGTGCTTATTTAATTCCACTAGAAAGTAGGGGAGGTAAGGATCGAACTCGTGACCGTATGGTCACTGAAGCTCTGATACCATGTAAAGAACCAATTCAATCCAAAAACTTAAGCTGATACGTTATTAATGGTTTTATATATCTCTAACAAAAGTAATTTACCTACTTGTACTTTTGAAAATCATCAATTAACCATGTATGATAAAATTCCATCCGATTCTGTTAATGTATATGTGAGTAAAACTTCTATATTGTAAAATTTCTTCTTCCCTTCAAAGCCAAAATGAGAAAAACAATTTGTGTCTCTATTCTTTTCTTCATCTTGCTTATTGTCTTCTTTGAAAACCCACATCATTGATATTGGGAGGAATTGGTTGAGGATGATGTGTGAAGGATTGGGTCACGTGATATGCTAACGGAAGTGGATGCAATTTTAACAGATGTAGTTAATTGCTGAATGTTTGAAAGTACAAACATCTAAATTGGTTTAATTAAAAGTATAGGTATTTTGAAACACAGGTAAAGTACAAGAGGATAAATTGTAATTTAGCCTACAATTTAAAGAGTGGGCAACTCTCCACTTACCTACAAATTGTTCACTTCTAATTGTCTTATTAACAAATAATCAGGTCTGAATTAATCTATAGTTATGTAACTGTACTCACTTCAAGTGCATTACATTAAGATGGGAGATAGAAACCCATATAATGCATCAATGAGACCCCTTGACCCTCGCCAATAGTTCTCTAATCACGCGGTTGTTCATCGTTGATTCTTTGCAACCACCGTACACTACTCAAAAGCAGTTGAAACCTCTCTCCAATGCACCACTAAAGAAAACAACAAAAATTGAAGGTATAATATGACTGCCAGTTCTAACACGCTTTTAAGGAGCTGGAACCCAATCATGGGGTGAAGACAGAAGACAATTTCAAGGGACCACAATTCACTGCTAGCAACAGCAATAATTATTAATAATGCAAAAAAATAAAGGGGAAAAAGTAAAAAAGAAAAAAGGAAGCAATCAGGGTAAGGGAAGGGGTATAAGAGGAGGGATAAAACATTTGGTTTATGAGAAAACTTATACAAATGAAAGGTAACTGGGGTAGGAGATAGTGAAAAAGAGCAAAAAAATAAATAACAAAATGAACCAAGCCCACCAATCATGATAAACAAAAAATTATAAATTTAATCAGTAATAATAATCCATAAGGCTCTCAAGAATAACTGTCAAGAGCTTCAAGGTGTCAGCTTAAGTTAGAAACAAGAGGCATATACACAGACCCAACCTTAGCACAGTTGAAACTTGACAACAACAATGCTGAAAAAATACACCGTGGAAAATGATATGTGTCTTCCCTTTTCCAGGTTGAATAGACTGAATCCTTTGTTGCAATTTTAGGATCTGCAAGAAGATTACAAAAGAAATAAATGCATTCAATCTCCCGTCAAGGTAAGAGAGTATTTTTTTCGTAAATATTATTTTTGGTACTTATCAAATTTTACGATGCGGGCTTTTTTAGTCCTATCAAATAAAAAAGGCTATTCGTGGTTCCTAAAAAATTTAAAATAGATCCATTTAGTTGAAATCGTAGTCTCTCACGAATTCAAAAAAGGCTCACATTAGTCTCTCACAAATTCAAAAAAAACTCACATTAGTCACTCAAAAAGACTAAAATGAGTTCATTTTGAATTTCTTAAGGACCACGAGTAGTCTTTTTATTTACTAAGGACTAAAGCAGACATCATAAAATTTGCTGAGGACCAAAAAAGATATTTACTCATTCTTCTTAATACGCCCAGAGTCTCTATACTTATTCAAACGTGAGTTATGAGATTAGTTATAAATTAGTTAAGTAAATATCATACAAATACATTTATATGAATATAGCGTGACTAAGAGTATTCTAATTAGAGAGTGTTGAGATTAGTTATAATTAGTGAGTGTGAGTATTCTGATTCTGGCTGAGTCGTAAATTTATATGAATATGTTTAACAACATTAGCCTGATTGTTTTGATAATATTGTGCCACTTTATTTTTCTCTTTCTATTAGACAAAAGTTCTTAATTTGATTGTGTTATTTGATGATTACGTTTTATTTATCCATATTTTTGTTTAATAATAACTTTATCCTATTTTATTGTTTTTTAATTCAGTTATTAATATTGTAAATAATAAAACGTATAACAAAAAGTACTAATCATTGAAGAAAAATATCTACATGGAACAGGTGGTAAAAGGGAAGTTTTAAATATACAAAAATTGGAAGATACCAATCGTATTCAAGATTTTAATTCTGAAAAAGAATAGACAATTCTATAATAAAAGAAGGGATATATTATTCTATTTATTTTTTTCTGCTTATTTTTATCTATCATTCTTCAATACCATTAGATCAGAATCTCGATAAGAAAAAGAAATAATAAATGTAGTTGAGATTATGATCTAATGGTATGAAAATTGATAAATAAAAGTAAGCAGATAAAGAGATAGATAAAATAACCTATCAATAAATTAAATTCAAAATTCATTATTCACCATAAACGAATCGTAATTGCTATAAAATTTATCTAAAATGTCATTTTGATTCAAAAATTTATTCAAAATTCAAAATTTATTTTCTACTCTCATTTTGATTTCCATATTATATTTTTTTCTTTTTAAAAAAAAAATAAAGTGAGTCTCGCCTTTTATTGTGAGAGTAGATATGACATAAGAAAAATAAAATTCATAAATACATTAGTTTCAATAGAATGATTTGATATTGTGAACTTTTATATTTTATTTAATTTATAAATTAAGTATATTATTTTAGATATTATTATTTTTCACGTTGTACTCTTATATACATATAAAATAGTGTGGGATTTGCTTAAAAAAAAAAAATAGTGTGGGATTTATATTTTTGTTTTTCATGTGGCTCATCACATTAGATAATTTTATTTTTTATAATATGAAAAAATATTTATTTTATTATAAAATGTCCTATGCCGACTTATCTGACTCTATTCTGATAACACCGTACTATATACATAGATTAATTCACGGGATATGTGAACACTGTCGAGTGCCGTAATACGGCAGGGGGGGAGGGCCCGCAGTGAGACCGGGGTCTCAGAACCCGCAGAAAAAAGCCTGTAAATTAAATAATAGTTTTTTTGGTAGAAAATTTAATAGATATTAAATAACACTCTTTGCTATATATATAATAAAAAAGAAAAATCTGTGTCCACACTGCAGATAAGTATTTTCAAATCAAGCTTTAATTAATTTGATAGAGTGGTTTTAACCTAAACTAAACAGCAAAAAGGACCATAAGCACCGGTGACTGGTGAGAATCTTAGATAAAAGGACACTCGCCAACCCTCTTTGCCATTGTGCTCCTCAAAAACAGAGTACACTACACGTATCAGATAAGCATAGAGAGAAATAGAGAGAGAGAGAATATTTCTGGGCGTGCAGATGGCTCGGAGCTCCACAAGAATGAAACGGGTCTTCATCCTCGTGCTCCTAATCTCACTCCATTTGGCCCTCGCAGAAGATGGTAATCTCTACTATTTCTACCTCTTAAATGTACATAGAGTTTGGCTACGGTTTTCAAGTTTTCCTCTTTTCTATCTGCTGAGATCTGACATTACAATTTACAACTGCTGTTTTTTTTGCGCTTGTTACTTGGTTTATGTGCTTCGATTTGTGTACTATGCCTATGATTTTGGTGGGTTTTTAATTATATTTCCATTGTGTGGTCTAGTACTATGGTACGAAGATGAAATGCTAGTAATTGTTAGCTCTGTTTGAAATAGCTTTCTGGGTGGGGGTGGGGCAAATTCTGGGTTTTGTTTTTACCAGGTTACTTTGCTACTATTTTTAAGTGCTGGGGCTGACCATCTTATGTATGCCAATTATAGAAATAAGAGACTGATTTTCGGGTTGGGCATGGTGGAATATGGTTCTCTAGGCTTTGTGATGCTTGACCATGATTATAATGTTTCTGTTTAACTTGTTTGCTTGCAAGTAAATGTAGTTATAATGTTTGACTTAGTTTATGGTTTTTACTTCTCCATGAAGTGAATGAACTCTATCCGGTTTTCATTTGGACGAGGCTGTTAATGATTTCCAACACAAAACGCCCACCTTTCACTCTACTATGAGTGTTTTTTTTCTCTGTCATTCTCACATTTCTAACCACCCCATTGTGTTCTTTCGTTTTCCACAGACCAGTCATTTTAAGTACTGGTGTAAATAGTTGGTCCAGAGGGTCCTAAGTCCCAAACAGGTCTATCGCTAGCTTATATCATATTATTTATTTTAAATAAAATAAATAAAATTATTATTTTAATAATTTTGAATAATAAAATAATATTAATTTATATATATTTTTTAATTATGAAATATTTAATAGGTTTAAATAGTCTAATTGGCCTAAGCCAAAGTTTTTATTTTTAAATATAGGTAGGACAGAACAGAATTGTAATCTGAGTCTACACAAGTTAATAGATCAGATCAGACAAAAGGTTTTTTTACACAGTCTGACCTATTTAAACAAAAATCTAACCCAACCTAATTTATTTATGCTCCTAATTTTAATACTTGTTTTATTTGGGTGAAGTGAGCTTCTGATTTTTTGTCATCCCCTATTTTTTCTTTGTCTATAGTCCATGGAGTCAGTAATGAAGTTAAAATTATACCAAAAATAAAACATATGATGGCAAAAAATTTAATAAAAAATGGCTCTAGTTCTAACTTCCAACTTTTTTGAAAGTGAAATGCGCCATATGCTCCTAATCTATGATCTTTAAAGCACGCATAGTTGAAAAGAAAATTAATTTCCAAATATAAACACGAAATGTTAATAAAACGCTATAATATTTTACATAGCTATTATTCAGTTGCTACTTTTTACATAATTCTTGAAAATAGGTAAAATCAGTTTTATATATTTTTTACCAAAAAGTAGCATTGTAGAATTAGTTATACGAGTTTAAGGAAAATACACCGCAAAACATCGCTATCCTGCAATTATGATTAGTACCAAATATTCGACCCTAAAAAATGTAGATTAAAGTAGTTAGTGTTTTGTTATAGGATGATATGACCATAGTCCATTAGTAGACGAAGAAAATCATAACCAGCCTAGAGAAACATGAAAAAAGGGAAGGCAAGTAAGCGTATGGGTCCCAAGCAAAAGACCTTTGCAATTCTTGTTATCCTAGGGATGCGAAAGGACTATATTGACACAGTGTTCCCGCCACTCGAAACAAGCTTTTTTCCTCCAATCTTGACCAAAGGGCAAGGACCTTTCCGGAAAGGACGCAAGCACCCAGATACTTTTACTATTGTTGTCGTTTGGGTCATCCTTTAAATAATAAAAAGCACGGTAAGAAAAAGTGCTTTTCTCAAGGGACAGGATTGGGAGTGGAGCGGCAGCGTGGGTTAGGACTCACGCGCTCACACGGCTTCTGGTACATGTTGATTTGGATCAGATCTCAATTTGTTCCCCGTCAACATCATATTTTGTCGTTTTTGCCGTTGGGAAAATCTTCGTTCTAATCTTCCCCATGCTGTTTGGCTTCGCTAGTTGTCACATACATTGAGAGGGGGTCTTTTTAAATGGTAGCATATTTTGTTTCGGTTTTTTGTTGTTACTTCTTGGTGTGCTTGGCAAGCTGGATCTGACAGAGACTCTTTTGAAGGGTAGCTTATTTTGTTCCGTAATTTATTGTTCCAAGATGGGCCTTTCTAATTCTCGAGGCCCATTCTTGGATTAGGCGCTCCAAAATTGCAATAGCTAATCTAGCACTACTCTTGGTGTGTCGCTGTTATTGCTGTGAAAGACATAAATATATTGAAGGGACCAGATATAAATTCGAAAGAATGGCGTAGGTGATGGTGCATTCACTATAGAACAACGCATATATTTGCTACCTTCTAATTCAACATAAATGTTGATTCCCATCACGTTAGGTTGGAAACTTGGAATTTCATGTGGGTAGGAGTTGCACCTTGACAGTGATTCTGCTGGTCCTCTTATTTATTTGAAAACACCTTGAGAGCGAAATGTGACCCTACACTCATCACAATTACTTTATATAATTTTCATTTGACCATTTGTCACCTGTATTGAAGTCTAAATCTAATCGACAAGCGCAATTTTCTATCTTAATAAAATACGTATGTAGTTTTGTCGACTATGCTATATTTTAGAAAGGAAAAGTTGTTACAGGGACATGACTCAGGTGATAAAGGCTCGGGTCGGGTATATTTGTAATGTTGTAAATTAAATTTCATATGTTTGAATATGAATTAATTTAGAAGGATGATAGGATTAGTTTAGTACCTAAGGATTAGAGTCCTTCGGTTATAAAGCTTAGGTTCGATCTCATCACTAGTAATTTGCTTTTTAATATGTAGCTTGTAATGACACCCTAACGTTAAAGCCGTGTAAAATATTCTAATCTCTGAACAGGGCAACCTCACTCTTCTCTTTCTTTCTTTAAGGAAAGAAATTATAAACAAAAAACTATACTAGAGTTCGAATATTCCTTTGGTGTTTGATTTTATTTACTTTCACTAGTGCTATGCTGCAACACATTATAAATTATATGAACGAAAAAATTGATTATAAAATGAATTATTATATACAGGTTTAGTGGCGAATGGAGATTTTGAGGCAACCCCATCAAATGGGTTCCCAAGCGAGGCAATGGTGGAGGGGCCGAGTGAAGTCCCTAATTGGAAATCAAACGGCACCGTTGAGCTTGTGGAGTCTGGGCAAAAACAAGGTGGGATGATCCTCATCGTACCACAAGGTAGACACGCGGTGAGGCTGGGGAACGACGCTGAGATCAGCCAGGAAATACCGGTGGAGAAGGGTTCGATTTACTCGGTCACGTTTTGTGCGGCTCGCACGTGCGCCCAGTTGGAATCCCTCAACGTGTCAGTCCCACCTGCATCACAGACGATAGACCTGCAGACCCTGTACAACGTGCAGGGTTGGAACCCTTACGCGGTTTCTTTCAATGCGGACGGCGACACTTTTAATTTGGTTTTTAAGAACCCTGGTATGGAAGATGACCCCACTTGTGGCCCCATCATTGATAACATTGCTATCAAGAAGCTTTTCACTCCCGATAAGCCCAAAGACAACGCAGTAAACAACGGTGATTTTGAAGAAGGTCCATGGATGTTTAGGAATACTTCACTTGGTGTCCTGCTTCCAACAAACCTGGACGAGGAAACTACCTCGTTGCCCGGTTGGATAGTTGAATCCAACCGAGCCATTCGCTACATTGATTCTGATCATTACGCTGTTCCACAAGGTAAGAGAGCCATTGAGTTGCTCTCAGGAAAAGAAGGCATCATATCCCAAATGGTTGAGACCACTCCTGACAAACCATATTCCTTAACCTTCTCTTTAGGTCATGCAGATGACAAATGCAAGGAACCACTTGCTGTCATGGCTTTTGCTGGTGACCAAGCTCAGAACATTCATTACACTCCAAATTCCAACTCTACATTCCAAACTGCTAACCTCAATTTCACTGCCAAGGCTGATAGGACTAGAATTGCCTTCTACAGTGTGTACTATAATACCAGAAGTGATGACATGAGCTCTCTGTGTGGGCCTGTCGTAGATGATGTCAAAGTCTGGCTTTCTGGGTCCAACGGGCTTCGTGGGTTGGGCTTAGTAAGGCTCGGGCTTGTGATTTTGGGTTTGCTCTTGGTTCTGGTTTAAAGGGGTTTGCTTTTATTTACTGTTACCACGCCTAATAGGTTCTGTTGGATTAGAGGTGTAAGTGAAGTAGTAGTTACGTTCTCCGAATCTGTTTGTATCTGTACTGGCCTTAAGTTTATAGTTTATGCTTTAAGCAATGAAAAATGTCTTAGCTGTGTCATTCATACTTCTTCGCTGGTAAAGACACTATATATTTAGTTTGATGCTTAAGTGTATCTCCTGCAAAGTATACCCACTTTCAAGATTTGACTCAACGATCGAATAAGCTTCTAAATTAATTTAACCCCCTAGGTACGATGTGTGATGCGTGGAAACGTGATAGTTGATGTGCATCTCAAGTTTTGTCATTTGTGGTGCTGAATTCTCTACGGTGAGATGAAACTAGATTTAATTTTGCTTTCGCATGAAGGTGCTGCACAAATTCAGTTGTACAAATCTGTTAGTATCTTTCATGATAAGATTATGATGTAACTTAGGCTTGTGACAGGCATGATAGTATAAGCTTATACTTTACGTTATGACATTTTCAGTTGTTTGGTGGGACTATCGTATAGTATAAGTTTATACAACATAATCCCTTAATACATCAAAATGATGTATAACTTAATCCAGCCTAAGGGTGAAGGATAAGACCTGATAAGAGATTATTAATGTATTAACATCGTTGACCAATGTAATTTTAAAAATTTGATATATTATTTTAATATTAATCTATTAAAATAAAAATTAATTTTTCAATATATTAATTTTTAAAATATTGAATATTTTTATTTTTATAAAAATTAATTTATATTTTGGACACACTAATCAATAATTTTTTATAAAAATTAATATCATATATTCTTTTATAAATTATTTATTAAAAATATTTATTTTTATCATATATAGTATTATACAGTGCATTAGCAAATACTGGATGATATTATATCATACAATATGTTATTTTATACAATATTGTGCCAAACACTGGATAGTAGTAAAATTCAATCAGGTCTTATACAATCAAGCCTTATACTATTAGGTCTTATACTATCAGGTCTTATCCTATACTATGCACCAAACATGCCCTTAGGGGCAAACAAGTTTTTTTTTTTGGATATTAGACAGGTTTTTATAATTAAAAAAAAAAATTCTTTGTAATGAAGAAAAAAAAGCCAAAAAAAGTGTTCTTAGGAAGAGTTTTTTCCCAAGTTGTGTCAACTTTTTTTTGAAATCAACAGTTTTTAAATTAAAAATTTTATATAATTATCAAATATTATTTTTAAAGTTTTTTTAAAATTTAACGTAAAAATAACTTTTAGCTTAAAAAAAAGGAAGATATACTTACCACCAAAAAAGTTTACAACTTTTACAACCAATCTAATCACCATTGATTTTTGTCAATCTAACGATTATAATTTATTGGAAATTATTGGGTCGCATTTATTAATCAATTATTAAATTTTAATAAAATATAATCGTTAGATTGACGGAAATCAGCAATGATTAGGTTGGTTGTAAATGTGGTAAACTTTTTTGGTGGTAAGTATATCCTCTCGCTAAATTTTTTTACCAAACTCCTCACTTTTTTTTAACTTAAAAGCAACTTTATTTTTAACTTTTTTTTAGTACAATTGATTATGATATAGCTTTTCCAGTTGATTCCAACTAGGGCAATTTAGATGAGCTTTGAAAAATAAAATAAAAATAAAAAACTTTATATATATATATATATATGAGTTTGTTTTTTCTACAGACAATGTAGATAAGTAATCTACATTGAGCCCAAAACAACATCGTTTTGTAAGTAAATATAGATAACTTGTCTACATTCACTGTAGAAACATTAAAGTTGAAAAATATTTCTGAAGCAGCTTGAGATAAGTTTATCTCCGACTACCCTAAAACTACGTCGTTTTATTTCTTTATTTCCTTATATTGATTATTTCACCTTTGAATGGTTATGATTCCCTTTTTCTCTCTCTTTCTTTATCACTATTGATCCATCTTTATATGGTTATGATTTAGTAGCCGGAGATAACATTGTCTCAAGCAACTTGAGAAATGATAAGCCCATATATATATGGGAAAAACATTTCTCAAGTTGCTCGAGACAATGTTATCTCCGGCCACCCCAAAACTGTTGGGAAAACTCAGTTCCCTCAGATCGGCTCAGGGGCCTTTTGTGCGGAAGTCAATCAACAAGATCCTGATCTCGGATATCGGCAATACCTCGGCCTGAACTTCACCAGGTCGGGTAGCGCAGCGGAAAATCAAAACGAAAACAGGAGAGAGAGAAGAAGAACACAACCAGATTTAACGTGGGAAAACCTTCTCCAATGAAGAAGTAAAAACCCACGGGACCTAGTCCAGATCAAAAATCTACTATGAAAATAATGGTTACAAAGAATCAAATACACCAATGTGGTGGTTAACTCAACCTCTCCAATAATAGTGATAATCAAACTACCCTAGAGATGTTTCACTCAAACTCTCTCTAGAGATCTCTCAAATGCAAAGCATAAAGCTTTACTCAAACAATCAAATAATTTTCCTCTCAAATTTGTTCTCTCAAATCTGACCTAGTCTCCACCCTCAACTAATGAGTATATATAGAGGAGGTGAAAATTAGGGTTAGGGTTTTTAGGAAACCCCTCAAATGGGTTTGGGCTTAGCATTGAAGGAGGAAGCCCAACAAATCTCCCCCTCCGACTTCAATGGGTCGGCTTCAGCATCAACTCGGCTCCTTCGCAGCAGTCTTCAAATTTTCTTGCTGGAACCGGCTTTGTCATCATGTCTGACCAATTTTGGTCAGTGTGCACCTTGATGAGTTCGAGCTCACCACCTTCCACCACATCCCGGATCTAGTGATACCTCACATCAATATCCTTAGTGCGGGAGTGATAGGTTGAATTCTTCGCAAGATGGATTGCACTTTGATTGTCACAACCCAGCTCGTACTTGTCTTGATCATGGCCGAGTTCCATTAGGAACTTCTTCATCCACAGCATCTCTTTGCTTCCCTCAGTAGCGACAATGTACTCAGCCTCAGTTGTCGATAGTGAAACACATTTCTGAAGTCTTGATTGCCAAGAGACAGCTCCTCCGGCAAATCTCATCAAATATCATGTAGTCGACTTCCTCGAGTCGGCGTCTCTCCCTAAATCAGAATCCGAGTAGCCTTGCAACTCGGCTTTGCCTTCTCCAAATCAGAGACATAAGTCGGTCGTACCTCGGAGGTACTTGAAGATCCACTTCACTGCTTCCCAGTGCTCTTTGCCGGGGTTTGATAAATACCGGCTTACCATTCCAACAACATACGCCAAGTCGGGTCTAGTGCAAACCATTGCATACATCAAGCTTCCGACGGCGGATTGGTACGGGACCTTCATCATCTCATCTTTGTCTTCATCAGATCTCGGACATTGCTTCTGGTTCAGCTTTATGTGTACAGCTGAATCTCTTCAGAATCTTCTCAATATATTTCTCTTGACTCAGCCACAGTAGCTTCTTCTGTCTATCTCGGATAATCTTGATTTCGAGTATCTGCTTTGCAGGGCCGAGGTCCTTCATTGCGAAGGACGAGCTCAACGCCCTTTTCAGGGTGACTATCCCCGATTTGTCTTTCCCTACAATAAGCATGTCGTCAACATATAACAACAAAATCAAAAAATCTCCGGCCTCATACCTCTTCATAAATACGCAGTGGTCGGCATCTGTCTTTTCAAACTTATGATCAGTCATGAACGATTCAAACTTCTTGTACCACTGCGGAGGTGCTTGCTTCAAGCCATAGAGGCTCTTCTTCAACCGACATACCAAGTCTTCTTGGTCTGGAGCTTGGAATCCTTCAGGTTGCTCCATATATATTTCTTCTTTTAAGTCACCGTGAAGAAATGCCGTCTTCACGTCCATTTGTTCTACCTCGAGGTCCATTGAAGCCGCCATGGCAAACACGGTTCGGACCGAGGTCATTTTCACCACAGGAGAAAAAATCTCCTCAAAATCAACTCCTTTCTTCTGATTGCAGCCTTTCACTACAATCCGGGCTTTGTATCTCGGCTTTTGCCCGTTCCCTTCATTCTTAATCTTGTAGATCCATTTATTCTTCAAATCTCGTCTTCCTCTAGGCAACTCGGTCAGCTCATAAGTTTGATTCTCGTGCAGAGACTTCATCTCGTCTCGCATTGCCTTTTCCCATTCTTCTTTCTTTGAGCCCGTCACAGCCTCATCATAACTCTGAGGCTCACCGTCTTCAGCAACAACGATGTATTCATCATATGGGTATCTTGTAGAGGGTCTTCTTTCTCGAGTTGGATATCTCGGCTGTTCTTCAGCTTGAGAACCCGATTCATCATTCTCATCCCGGATCTCATCATCAACTCGGACTTCAGTGTCTTGGTCATCTTCAGCTTGTTGCTGATCATCATTTTCTTCATTTTCTTGATTTTCTCCCCCTGCTTCAGCTCGGACAGGAGGGATGGGTTCTTATGTCTGACAGTAACCCGGACTTTGGGCTTCGAGATGTTATGAATGTTCTCATGTTCATGAAAGATCACATCTCAGCTTCTCACTATCTTCTTATTGATTGGATCCCAAAGTCAGAACCCGAACTCACATCTCGGCGAACCAAGATAAATACATTCTTTAGTCTTTGCATCAAGTTTGGCCCTTTCATCTTTAGGGATATGCACGAAAGCTCGGCATCCAAACACCTTCAATTGATTATAGGCCACTTTCCGACCTGTCCAGACTTCTTCTGGAATTTCTCCTTCAAGTGGCAGTGATGGTGAAAGGTTGATCAAGTCAACAGCTGTTTTGACGGCTTCTCCCCGGAATGATTTCAGTAACCCGGCATTGGATATCATGCTTCATACCTTCTCTTCAATTGTTCTGTTTATCCTTTCAGCCAGTCCATTCAGCTGAGGTGTCTTGGGGGGCGTCTTCTCAAGTCGAATCCCGGCCGCTCTGCAGTATGCATCAAATGGGCCGCAATACTCACCACCATTATCAGATCGGACCACCTTCAATTTCTTGCCAGTCTCCCTTTCAACCATAGCATGTAATTCTTTAAAGGATTGGAGTACCTGGTCTTTAGACTTCAACAAATATACCTACACTTTGCGAGAATGGTCATCAATAAATGAAAC